TTGTCCTCCAAAGAGCCAGCCCTGTAGCTCTTCCCCACTCCCCCTGCACTGTCTATGGGGCCTCGCTGCCCCAGAGATTAGTCTCATTGGACCTGTCCTGACCCTTCTCAGAATAATCTGTCACACTGGCCCCCCCCCGCCCCCGCCCCAGGATGCCCCTCCGGGGCTTGCTTAAGGTCAAAGCTAAAAGAGGACACAGCGTGTTTTGTGAAGCATGTGTTTTATTCGTCTTGTGCCCAGCTCGTTGGACATTCAATGTCATTCGTGGTACAATCACTCGTTGTGTCATTCAATACCACCGCGGAAACGTGCTGTTTTACTACCATAGCGGATGGAGCGTGGCACTCCGGCTGGGACAGAACTCGCTGGTGGAGGGAGTGTAGCAGAGAGGCTCACAGGTTAGTGAGCAGCCAGTCCAGCAGTTGCCTTCTAGCCATGTTCCCGACTGCTTCATCGAGTTGTTGTTCTTTGGCAAACTTCATCACCTCTTGGAGGAGATCTCCAACACTGTAGCCCTTCTCAGCAGCCTTGGCTGACACTTCAGGAAGCTGCAGAAAGAAAGAAGACAGAGAGAAACAGGGAAAGAAAGAAAGAGAGAGAGAAGGAAGGAAAGAAAGAAAAAACAGGGCTTCATTTAGCCTGGGCTGTGGACAATATTACTGGAGGAGCTGCTGTGAAAAAAGGACCATCAAAATCATCGAAGTCCCAAGGGCAGAAGACGGATGTCCCAACCTAATTGCGCCCATGCTATTTTCCAATGAGTGTCTGCTCTGAGGGGTTCTGGCCCCATATGCTCTAAGAGCCATGACATCGGCGGGCCTTCTCCATCCCCAGGGGCTCTCCCTCCCCTCCCCCCCCCGAGGCCCACCCCACCCTGCTTCTCCCTGCAGAGCTGAGGACTTTTGTGCTCACCTTCTCGAGCTGACCATCCTCATCTCCCATAAAATAGAGCATGGGAACCTCGAGCTGGGACGCGGCAATCCATTGGAGCACAGCTTGGAGCTGCTTCTTCAGGTTGCTGGTAGAAGATTGGTTGTTCACAATGACTTCAGGCCCTGGGTTATCGTGACGCGAATGGGACATCATGGCATCCTGAGCACACCTGGAACTGCCGGCCTGGAAACTGAGTCCAAGTTCCTGCAGCTCAGCGAGGCCCGCCCCGTTGTGGCTGTATTTGGCCATGATGACGCACAGCTTCATCACAGATTCCACCAGCTGGTCTACAAACTGTTGGTTTACTTGCTTCTTGCCGCTGATGAAATCAAATTCTTGATGGTCGTGGGAGTGCTCCTCACCCCTGTCGGAGCACTTCGACGTAGAAGAGGAGACTTTGGGTTTTGATTCATCCCTTTTGCTCTCACTTTCGCATTGGTCATCCAAGCTGAATGGACTCTCATTCAGGAGCTTCTGGATAAGCATCAAAACGATGTTTGACATGTCCAGTTTTTGAGTGTCCAGCTCTTTGGGGGAAGTGGATGGACCAGCATGTTGACCGCTTTGTGATTCCAGATGTTTCATGGAGAGCGCCTTCGCACTTTGGCCACTGCCAGTTTTCTCATAATGGGCACCCTGGACCATGCAGCCCATTGTGGATCCAGGCTGTTCAGGTTCTTCAAGGACGTCTTTGCCCTTGGCCTGCTGGGTCAGATGGTACTGGATTAGCGTCAGGGCTGAGACAATCAGGTCCTTGGCCAGTGAATCAGTGGAAGGGCTGATCTTCTCCCTCTTAGAATCTTCCCGGCTGGTGCCTGCTTTGCTATGCATCTTGGTCTGACCACCACCCGTTTGTTTCTGGTTCCACATGGTAAGGCTCTCTTTAAGGACCTGTTCACTGACCTTTTCAGCACCAGTCAGGGACTTACACTGATCGGGCTTCATTTTTCCTTTTTCTTTGCCCTTCATCATCTCGGCTTTCATGTCAGAGAATTCAAGGCTCTGATTCTTATTCTTAGCATCGTGAGATTCGGCTTTCAATGAGGCGTAGGCCAGGCTCTGGGATTCTGTTTCTTTTTTCTCCCTAGCACCCAGTAGGGTGCTGTCTAGGCGTTTCAGCATAGCCTCCATGATGTTGGCGGCATTCTGTTTGCCCTGGTTGAACAGGATTTTCTTGACATCAGAGACAAATTCAGAGTCAGTCATCAGGACACCAGTGATGTTATGTAAGTTCTTCATGCAAGAATCAATTAAATCTGACAGGACCCTCTGCAGCACAATGTAGGCTGGGATGGGCTTACCAGAACTATGGGCTTCCAAGGTCTTCAAGGCAGATACCATCATGTCAGAGGCCATCTGGCTGGCATATGCCATCAGGCGTTTGCTGATGGAGTTGGCAAACTCTTTACTGTCTCTTTGACACATCTGTTCTTCCCCTCCCTTGGACTTATTGGATAATTCGCTGTACAAGAAGGTTTTCTGGTCCTTATGATCAAGGTCTCCAGGGCCTCGATTTTCAGCTGAAATCCCCTCTACTACATCGTGGGCCATCTCAGAGGCAACCTTGCTGACTGCACTTCGGGGGCTGTTCTTGCCTTTGTCCCCAGTGCAGGCGTAGTTAGAGTAGTGTAAGCATTTACTTCCTCCTTCTCGCTTTTCCTTGATGTCCTTGCGAACCATCTGGATCACGAGGGAGGACAGTCGTTTGACATAGGAGGAAAGGTCATCCGTGGAACATTCCCCGTCAGGAGATGTGACTGCTCTCTGTGTCCTGGGTGACTTTGCTGGGGGGCTTGAAGAACTCTGGTTGCTGTCTGCGGCCATCTTGAAACGCAGGTTGTGGGGGTTGTTTGCCACATAGTCGTAGTCCGTGCTCAGCTCATCAGCGTAGACTCTGTAGCAGTTGTCTTCATTGGAGTTACTACAGTACCCATCTTCGGGGGCCCCAATTTTGTGCTTACAGCTAGAGGATGAGGGGCTCAGAGCGTGCTGGAAGCTGAGAGAGTATTTTTGAAGGTCATTGAGGAGGCAACTAAGGGCTCTGATCGGGTCCAAGGGCGCTTGTTTGAAAAGACACACGGATCCGTCAGTCTAAGGGAGGAAGGAGGGGGGACACACCCAGTGAATCGAAAGTGGGGGAGGGTTCTCTGCTTCCCTAGTCTTTCTGTCCTTGCCTGGCAGGGTCAGGTGGCCCACACATACCTTTGTGGCACCTTTTGGAATTGAGGTTGGCTGCAGACACATGCTGCCATGGAATGTAGAGTAATGGGATGGGCATGGCCAAGGCTCAGTTTTCTGCCTGTAGCATATTTGTAGGCATGACTATATTTATTATATGTAGGCATGAAGTTAATACACAGGTGCATTGAGGCTGTCACAGCATGTACATGTGTTTGCCAATAAAAGCATATGGACTTAGTTGAATGTATGACAACTTCTGTATGTTTGATGTATGTGTGTGTGCATACGTGTGTGTGTGTGTGTGTGTGTGTGTGTGTGTGGTTTATTAGCCAATAGAGTCATAAGATTTGGAATTTGAAGGGGACCCTTTCTTCTGAAGCCTGTCAAGTCCAAACTCCCATTTAACAGATTAGGAGACTAAGACCAAGCCCACATGTAAGTAAAGTAGCAGGAGTGTGAATTCAAAGCCACATTTCCTGACTCCAATTCCACTGGCTCTGTCCATTACACTACACATGGTTTAATGTGGATGTGGTATGGTCATGGTAGTGTTTGAGTATCTGTGGCAAATATGTGTGAGAGTAAGCATAGGTGTGAGAGAGTATGGGAGTGTGTAAGTTCTGACCACATCTACACACGTACACATGGATGAATAATATGATAGCTCTTCTCTTCCCTATATTTCTAGAATAGTTTACACACAGTTTACAAAGAACTACTTTGGGAAACCTTGTGAATAGGGAATCTGAAGTGTACATCCAATTTGACTGAAGAGTCCATGTTACCAGTCTATTCTACGTGTATTGATGGGAGGGAAACCTTGGCTACTTTCATTCTAACCTACTCTGCTGAGAGAGAGAGAGAGAGAGAGAGAGACAGACAGACAGACAGACAGACAGACAGACAGACAGACAGAAAGACAGAGACAGATAGAGAGAGACAGAGACAGAGAGAGAGAGAGAAACAAAGAGAGGGAGAAAAGATTAAAAGAGAGGGAGAGAAAGAGAGAGATAGAGGGAGAGGAAAACAGAGGGAGAGAGGAAAAGAGAGGGAGGGAGAGAAGGGGAGAGAGAAAGACAGAGAGAGGGAGAGAGAGAGGGAGAGGAAGAGGGAGAGAGAGGAAGAGGGAGAGAGGGGAAGAGGGAGAGAGAGGAAGAGGGAGAGAGGGGACGGGGGGAGAGGGGGGGAGAAAGAGAGAGAGAGAGGGAGAGAGAGAGAGGGAGAAAAAGAGAGAGGGAGAGAAAGAGAGAGAAGAGAGAGAGAGGGAGGGAGAGGGAGAGGGAAAGGGGGGGAGAGACAGACAGACAGACAAGACTGTGTGTGTGTGTGTGTGTGTGTGTGTGTGTGTGTGTACCTCTCTTTTCTGAGAAGTCCATATTCTTTCCCCCTGCCACAGACCAACTCAAATTGAAACTCTCTGGTTTTGTTTAAGAATATCTTGTTTCCTTCCTCCTCCACAAGCTACTTCCTACCCCTCCAAAAGGTAGATACAGGACAGGCTGGAACAGGAAGGAAGTTTTCTATTGAGTTCTGGGTACAGCATGTGAGAGCAACGCCAAATGGACATGGAGGCCAGTGGACTGTGGCTTTCTCAGAATGTGCCCTATGTATGAAGTGTGGGCAAAGTCAGAGGATGTGTGTCCCTCAAGTGCCAACCGTTATATGGGTACAATAGCCAGCTTCCTTTAGACACAGGTGACTAGGGAGCCTAGCTAGGTATGTAGGGAGGAGAACCTGGATAGAGACAAGATATGCTCAAAGTGAAACTGCCCCCCCCCCCAGCAGAGCTGTTTATTTAGAAGCTACTGCTGCTAACCAATTTGCATATTTAAAGTTCTAGAGTGACAGTTATGCAAATTGTGTGAGTTTCCTTGAATATGATTGGTTGCCAATCACAGGCAAGCAAACAGTGGAAATGGGGAGAGTGATGGAACATCTCACACTCCTGGAGAGGAGGAGGGAGTTCAGGGTGGAAGGCCGTGCAGGGGTTAAGCACTTACCTTGGACTGACATAATTTCTCTGTGTCTTTGATGATGATTATCTCCTTTTCTCCCGAAATCTCCAGGTCCAGTTCCCCCTCTGAACTAGGTCCTCCTTCCTGTAGTGGATAATAAAGAGATGGGGTTTTTCAGGGGGCTATTGGGAAGCCAGTCAATTCTCCCTAACCTGGAGCCAAGCCCCCCATTCCTAGGCACACACAAAGGGGCACAGAATATGAGTCCCCTTCAGGCCAGATTGTCCCTTCTGTGTTTTCCTTCCAATCCCATCCATGGAGCACAGGATAAGAAAGGCATATGACTCGGTGGGAAGAGAATGACATCAGAGTTGATTTCTCCCCCTTTCCCCTTTATTTAATGTGGGGTGTCTGTGTTAAAAAGTGCAAATTGGAGAAGAGGGAGTGAGAGGAAGGAAAGCAAGCCCATATAATAAAGAGACAATGGCTTAGGGTTCTATGTCTTTAGACCCTCATTTTAGCCAAACTCTCTTTCCCTTTTTTCTCCTCATTCGGAATATTATTTAACATTATAACTAGACCTTTGGTGATCTGGCAACTTGTCAAATCTAAATTAGGTCACTATACTCTCCTTGTCTTTGTCTTCTACATTGAGAGTTGATACATCGACAAAGCAAATCTAAGCCACAAGGAAATGGAGGACAGTTAGAAAATCTGTCTGGCCACAGAGGGGACAGCCATGTCAAGGCCTCAGAGCCCAAGGACGGAATGTCCACACATTCTAAGCCTTCCCTTGTCCCTTCTTTCCTTTTTTTATCTTCCATTTGGGGAGAGGGGAGGAAAATGAATGTTCCTGATTTTTCTTGCAGTAGGAGTCCGGGAGGAACTGTTGGGACCCTTCCTTTGTGTTTGTCATTGTGTGCTAGGACCTTTGTGAAGTTCTTCACCGAGCTGTGTCTCCCCCAGCCTGCCATCACCTTTGCCAAGAAGACTGGGGCAAAAGTGGCAGGACTTTGGGGTGATCTTTAGGAACAGACTCAGTGAAGATTAGAAGTGCAGTTTTATTATGTGCCATCCTCAACCTCAGTCTAGTCTTCCTTTGACTCCTCAACAACTTTTTCTTTTTGCTTTTTGGTGAGGCAATTGGGGGGTTAAGTGACTTAGAGTCACACAGGTAGTAGGTGTCAAGTGTCTGAGGTTGGATTTGAACTCAGGTCCTCCTGACTCCAAGGCCAGAGCTCTATCCACTGCGCCCCCTAGCTGCCCCTCCTCAACAACTTTTGTCAAGGATCATATGAGAACTAGTGCATAATGAAATTGTGTTATAAACAGTTTAGTACTATATAGAAATGTCAGCTAGTTATTAATATTATAGAAGGTTTCTTTCTCAAGATCCCCCATTGAAAAACAAAAGCCCAGCATAGGGCTGGCTTTCACTTGGGAAGGCCTTTTCCCATTTTGGTACTATTTCCATCTCCTGTTGGATTGTTATTGACCAAATGACATGTATGATGTTGGGGGGAGGATGTAACCTTGACTTTGGAAAGGCAAGGTAGAAGTGAATAGGGTTCTCTGTACTGCTGGAGTGTGAAATCCTTAAAGGAAGAACTTTAGGTAAAGTAAGTTATCCTTTTCTGGGACAGATGAAGTGAAAAAAAGAACTAAGGGTGGAGAGAAGCTGCCATATTTGCCTATGGCACCACAGTTCCATAAGTGGTAGAGCCAGGGCTAGGATTCAAACCCAGCTCTCTGGACTCTCTTAACCCCATGCCTCCCTTTGTGGCATCATGGCTTTCTGAGAGTTACAGCTGAGCTGAGCCAGTTGGCAGTTGCCTGGGTGAGGGGGGGGCATTAGTCTGTTTTCCCCTGCCCTCTAATGTCTCCTCCCCCCCCCCTCCATTTTACCTGATTTTAAAATGTCTCCAATTTCTTTCCCTTCTACCCTTCCCCCTCCTCCTCCTTCTCTCCATGTTATATGACAAGTCTAAATTAAAGTTCCCTGCTTTGGAAGTGGTCTGAAAGCTGAGACTTGTTTTGTTTGTGGGTGATTTGCCAGAATAAGGCCAGAGAGTTTGGGAGCCCCTGAGGCTTCCCTGGGATGACGCCTGCCCCTAATCTGGAGTGCTCAGAAGCTCCTCCCTTCCTTACCACTTTTCGATCCTGATCTTTCTGTCCTGTTGGGCTGTAGAGCTCGACTTTGCAGACCCTTCTGCGGCTTTGTAACCAGTCAATATCATCAGACATCTGAAATAAGACAGACAAAAAGTATGGGAGGACATGTGCTCTGAATCTGGGGGGAGTAGAACCATTGAGGCAAGGATCATCTCCAATACCTGGAACTTAGAATTAGCAAGTTAAACAGATAGTTTTTTACAAAGTCTCACCTTTCTTTTTCCTATCCCTCACTTTTAAGAAACAGACGGGAGTGGGGGGTAATCCTCATATCAGTTTGGGGATTATCTAAAAACCCCATTCCCAAATATTTGAGGATTTTAGGGGAACCCTCTGACAGAAGAATTTCAATTTTTGGTCTCATTTCCCCAGCTTGATCTTAGCATAGCAGACGCTATAGAAATTGTCTGTCTCAGAAAGATAAGTTGGAAAAACAGATCCCACTCCCTGACACAAAGGGTTTGACTATATTTCAGAAGAAAAAAGGGGAAAAATTCCTCCTTTTCCCATCCCCTGTCACACTTGGGATTAAAAAGGAGTCATAGACTCCCTCACTAACTGGATGTCCCTCCCCGCCGGCGGTCTGAGTGCAACTGACTACCTGGGGCTCCCCTCCCCTCTCTTATTACCAGGGGCTGCTCACACCCTCTGTTGCATTACAGACAGCCTCACGTGTCATCAGAATTAGTCATCAATGACCTTGCGCTGAGCTCAAAAGTGGGTGGGGCCAGCACCCAGCTCTGGCTGAGTTTTTATATT